GCAAATGCTGGAAAGTTGGTGACAGTTGTGGCAATCACGTGCTGAGAAGTCGCAGTCGCAACCGCAGTCGCAGTCGCAGTCGTGACTTCATATGTCTACAATTTTTTCGCCAATCATCAAGGCATTATAACATCAGTGTTTTCAGATAATATTCCTGTTACCAGCAAACCTCGCACACCACAGAACCTTCCTCTCGTGCATGGGTACCCAATCCTTCTTCATGTATTGGGTCTGCTCTACTAATCTGAAGAGTCCGAACAACACGGTAGCCCTTCAGAAAACACTGAAGACCAGTTTTCACAAGCCCCCAATAAGGCTTACAACATCGTTCCCTGCAACTTGGTAGCCCTCAAGAAACAATGTTTAGCAAACCAATGTCCCCCGCTGATTTCCGCCCCACCCCCTTTCCCTTACCGCCCCMCCCCCTTCCCGCCCCACCCCCTTTCCCTTACCGAATACATCATATAAAAAAAAGAGGTGGTGGTCTGGTGGCCCCGGGACACGACCGCACTCACTGGATGCGCCCGACGACCTCGGGACAAGTAAGCAGCCAAGGGTTGAGCGGCAGAAGCAATGGGCTTGACGGCCATGTCTTTCTTGAAACAGTCTGTTTTCCACGACAACCATAAAAGGGAGAGCTAGTCGGTCGTGCTTTATCAGGCGCGCCCGTTTATAAGCGCTGAAGAGGCTCCCCCCCTCTCTTTTTTCCCATCACCCCTGCGCAGTCAATCCCCTGGGACCCAGGGCAATCAATGCTGGCAGGCCTTTAACTTCCTGAGACATTTTCATACACTGCACATGGGACTCTGGACCAGTTTCCCAGCAGGGAGTTAAAGGCCCTGGGTCCCAGCATAGCATTGATTGCCCTGGGTCCCAGCAAGTGCTGAGGAGTTGGCGGACCCAGGGCAATCAATGCTATGCTGGGACCCAGGGCAATCAAGGCTGGGACCAGTTTTCCAGCAGGTGTGGCTCCCCACTAATAGATGGAGCCTCCCCCACGATACCACCTGCTTGGGATTTTCCCCAAGGGCCCAAACTGCTTGGGTGTGGCTGATCATCCGATAAGACCAGCTCTGGATAGTGGATGGAATAGCTGACCCATTAACGCAGCTCACAGTGTCGTCGCTTGCAGAAGAAAGAAAGAAAAGAAAGCGAAAAAGAAGGGCTTCCAGGAGTGGGGAGGGCAAATCAAGGAACGGCAGGAAGAGGAGCTAAGGCAAAGGACCGGTCTGCGTGAGATGCTTCAAAGGCAGTCTGCATCTGTCAGTCAGGAGGCAACTTCTAGATTATTACTGACTACCGTCTTCACCCAAGAATAGTGCCCGGGTGTTATATACGAATATTATGCCCCGCAGGAAAAAATCGAATCATCGTTCGCATCCAAACCTCTGCACCAAACCGTTGTGGGATCTGCCCGCCCAGTGGCAGCAGCCGTACTCGGCACATATGCATCATTTCCCAGCCATTGAAACGGTTTTCACCTTTTAGCAGTAGCGGATGCAGTACCCAGGGTTCGATCCCTAGACCTCACCCTACCCATGTACAGTATCTGTGTAGACCCCGAGAATTGAACCTGTGACCTGTGTATTCGTAGGCAGTTGGTAGACCTGTCGTAGGTCCATAGACAGCAGGGGTTCGATCTGTAGGTCTATAGCGTAGGAGTCTTAGTGAGTTCTGGAAGCTTAGCTGTAGACCTTCTAGAAGATAGGCAAGTGGGCAAGTGGTCAAGTGGCGAGACAAGTGGTGGACTAAACCCCAGTGCAACAGCAGTACAACGTCGGTAGGATGGCGGTGAGACCACAGTCAGTCAGCGGAAGGTCCAGTCAGTCCCAGTCCGGTCCAGCAAGTACCACAGGGGGACTGAGAGCACCAAGGGCCGATGGCAAAGGACAGACCAACGAGTTTCTGAAGTATAAATCAAGAGGCAGCGCCCAGCCATTCATTCATTCCTGCGTGAGCCATGCGGAAGCGCTGCCACAGCGACTTGTGCAAGGAGGTCTGCAGATGAGCCCGGAGGACGCAGTGGGCAAGAGAGAGGGAGTTAGTCTAGCGATAGGTTAGATGCAACGAAAGCTGCCATAGCTGTAGTTAGTAGTGAGTGTGTGTGTGTGTTCGAGTGTTAGAGTGATGCGTGTGGGATATCCAGGGTGATCCAGTGTATGTGAACAGTGAGATGTTTGGACGCTGAAGTCGCCATAGCTAATTGAGAGTGAACTCGTATCTGAAAGCCATATCTCTGAGTTTTGAGTGGGCGCATGTCGCCAGTATGCTGCGTTGCTGTTTACATGCATGAAAAATGTGTCTGAGAACGAGTCTGATTGCACCATTTTGTAGAAATGTGCTGCCCAGTGGCAGCAGCCGTACTCAGCACATATGCATCATTTACCAGCCATTTTGTAGACATGTGCTATGTGGGCACGTTTGGCAGGATGCACCAGGGCGTTGAATCGGACAAAATCCATCCAGGCAAAACGGGTTGCATGGGGGGGCAATTTGCCTGGAATCCCTGGATGGATTTCGGGCAAAGCGACACCTCGGGACCGACCCTCGGGCGACCGGAATGCCGGCAAAACGACGCCCCAGGGCATCCTGCCCAGCGCACCAGCGAGGCACGTTTCTGGACACACAGCTGGGAAACGAACGAGTAGTTATACCACCAGTACCAGGTCCACCTATGCAGTCCGACCCTCAGGCGACCGGTATGCCGAGCCTTACAAGCCTGGGAGTACCGGTAGCAAGACAGGACGGGGCGTGAGGAACCAGTACAACAAAAAAAAAAACATAAAATAAAATAAAATAAAAAATGGAACACCGCTAGCGGCGCTAGTGACGTGAATGCGGCTGGATACTTTCTGGGAAGTGCCAGTGTGAGCATGCCTTGAGTGTGCTGTGTCTCGTGCCCGTCTCTTTCTTTACAGAATCTAGAAAGTAGATGAAGACGAAAAGAAAAGAAAAAAGGACGTCAAACCTAAGATACTAGAAGGGAGAAAAATTTGGACCATTTCTCGATTTATGCATGTCATCCTTGCACAGGGACCATTTGCTAATTTACCCTTCTCTGTATCGTTCCAATTTTAACGGATGTCCCCAAGGACAGAAATGACAAAAAAGAAAAGAGTGTAAGATCCGTGTCAGAACTTACAAAGTGAAAGAAGACAAGACAAATTACAAATTGCGCATGGTTTTGATCCTGAATAAGGTTAGATACATTCAAGGATGAGCCACTTCGAGTATTATGCCCTTTGAGAGGCCGTTGGAGAGGATCACGGGATGCGCCGCCCTTTGAGAGGCTGTTGGAGAGGATCACGGGATGTGCCCTGCCTCGCTCGCAGGGCATCATGAACAAACACACACACACACACACACACACACACACACACACACACACAACAAAAAAAAAAGAAGAGAAAAACCTAACAGAATCTAACCTAACCTACTTTCATGTGAGATACAATCTCTGAAGCACTTGCGTGACCACGGCCTTGTGACTCACAGTCCCCGACATAGGGCCTCGCTGCACTACTCTCAAAATGTGCAAAACGAGAGTGAATCTTCCGCCAGAACATGGAAAGATACACAGCCATACTTGTCGTTTGTGCATTTCAAGATTAGTGCAGCGAGGCCCATAGCCCTCCAAAACATAGTTCAGTTTTTTTTCTTTTTTTCCCTGACTACTTTTCCACCAGCGATCGGCCCTTCCACCTAACCCCCTCCCCCCAACTCAGACACCAAATGTTGCATACTTCAATGAGTATGGGCAGAACCAAAGATCAACCAATGTAGGATGAGCATATATGCAGCGGAAGTCTGATAAACAGACTGACTCGTGAGATGGTGGGGTCTGGGCCATTCATAGACGATGCCCAGATCCCGTACACGCATTCACAGATGAAAGGTGGGAGGAGAGACGAAGGAGGTGGGGAGGTAGACAACACCGATAGATAGAGTCTGATAGGTCTCCGATATGGTAGTCCAAAATGTCATACAACAGGATCAAAATGTCGAGGCCCATAGGTCACCAATGTCAGAGATACAGCGTCCAGATGTAACCGGTGTCCAACTGTGATGCAGCCGAGTATCAACCTCAACAATCTCCAAGTCTCCAATCAGGTAAGTACCACAG